AAGGATAGGTAGGGTAAGCATTAATATCAACACTTTTTTAGCGGTTATGCCCAAGGCATCTTAATATCCTAGAAGTTATATAATTATATACTCATTTTCCCATTTCAAATAGCCCAAGACACTTAAATGTATTTTTATTTTGTTTATTAACACTAAAGCTCCAAAATTGAGTATAAATGCCATGTATAAAAGTAATAAACTGGTGAGCAGACACGGCAGTGTATATTACACTCATACATAAAGTGTCAAGGCAGCTTTTGCAGCAGCGACGAGTGCTAGAAACATTTGATGGCACAGAAACAGAAAGCCTTTGCTGCCAATATATCATCATTCAAGAAAAGGCTTTCATGCTTGTTTGGCTTTTTACCGTGACTATCATTTATCACAGTGATTTGTATTTACACAAGGATTTGCTCCCACATACCCCATCTTCTGTTGATGATCATGAAGTGACGTCATAATGCTGAATTTATCACATCACACTCACTTGCATTGCAACAGAGTTTGGTGAAAATCACAGAATTATGACCTCCCTGTGGGATCAAGCAAAGGAGAAAGGGGGATGGGAAAGAAAATGCCATTATTATACACACAAAGTGCTGTCAGATGCACAAATAAAATGTTTTTGAAATGGAGGCTTGCTTTCATAGCACGCCTATTTCTATGCAGATGTTTGTCCAGTGACTAACATGAAGTAGCTCCAAACACACACGGTGTTTCTTGACCATGCTGCAAATACAATGAGCTATAAAGTAGTGTGAGTGGACAAACAATAATGGTCAAACACTAACGGTCAAAGGCCCCTTCTCTCTAACTTCAGCCAAGCATGCTGCAGCAGCAGTCTCCAATTTGTACATGCCAGCACCTTTTTAACAGAGTTCTGTTGAGTTCCATGTTGTAGCACACAGCCTCTCTTACAGTAACGAGAAACACAGTTTACATATGACAAAATTCTACCTTTTACATACATCCAACTTGCACTGAAGTCAAACATATTCTGGCTCAAAAAGAAATAACCATGAGCCAGAATATCCATACTGTAATTCATCCATGGTAACTGTGTTTGGACTGCTAGAGTACTTCAGTTCCCTCACACAACGGGTATTTTTACTTCAGCTGCCACCAGGCAAACTGCAGCCTTTGCAGGCAGCCACAGGGCCACTGCAGCCTGGTTAACAGGGCAACCTGGCAGCAGCACTCCTCTCCAAAGACATCACATTAAGAAGTTGTGTATCCTAACTACTTTTTGAAGTGAAAATCTATTTTAAAAAGGAAGCAAGGGCAAGAAAATCTGCAGGAACTCCTTCGCAGAGCATTACATACCATATAAAAATATTTTAGCAAGGCTGAATGGAGACAACAAATGGACAGCCACACTGTCTACAAGTTCTACTATAGCTAGCTACAGCAAGAGATCCCAACCTACATTACCAGGTCACATCATCTCATGGTCTATGGTTACTTTGCTCATCACCTCTTACACAATGTGCTTGGTTTTAAAGTCATGCCTTTCCTACAACCAGTTCCTTTCTGTAACAGATGCATAGCACGTTCTGATACTACTTGCAGCAGTGGTCCAAGCTCATCTCTTCTTTATGACATTATGTAAAGCTTTGACAAATGAGGTAGAAAACAGCCAAATTACTTATGCAAAGATCCTGCAAGTCGATGACAAGTCAATACAATGAGTTTTCCTCATCCTGCTGCGTTCTCTCGACCAGAATACCTATTCCCAAGAGCCAAACCGTGGCATGAATGTTTGTGCATCTGTCCCAAAGTTCAGCACTCCAGTACTTGCCTGCTACCCATCACATTTCTTTCTGCAAAAAACTGTGCTTTATTTCATTTAATAAATCCAGCATCTGTGAGAGTGTTTCCACTGCTTTCCTATGCTGGCTGAGGGCACAGTACTTTTTGCCCCTCTCTTGTTGAGAGCTATTTAGAATCTACACGTACTCGTCAACCTTCAAAACAAAAATAACCCTGTACCTTTTACATCTCACATCATTACATTTATTCTTAGTTTTTCTTCCAGCTAGACAGAAAGAAAATAAGTACGGTTAAAAAGAAAGTTCAAAAACTCCCTCAGTTATGAAGATTTAACACTGCTGCCACATAAATGCAACACAGCCATGTATTCTGTAAGACACGTGCTAGATGTTTTCTAAAATAGAAGCTCATTCACGGGAGTGGTTTAAACAAAGGAGATAAGGCTGCATTAATCTCAAGATAAAATCCTAACAACTTCACTGTTTACTACTCTCAGCCAAGCTGCAGTAACACCAGAAGCACCAGGCTCTCTACCAACACGTGAAGACAGGCATTGAAGGGCACCCTGTCTAAGAATACAATATATATTTTCCAAGGAATGGAGTCTGCACTGATGGAAAGCAATTTCCCACGTGCCCATACAGAGATGTGGCAACAGGAACACACAGCAGCACTGCAAAGCAAGGCTGCCTTCCCACATCAATAAAGCAGGGCAGCACGCACTGGAGACATTCAACATTCCCAGTATGCACGATCTGACTCTGCTCCTGTTTGGTTCTGAAACACAGCACTCCAAGTGCTCGTGTCCCAGAAAACTCTGTTGTGTGCAAGAGATTTTAATCTTCAGCGGCTGCATCTCCACAGAAGAGCTGTGGATGGCAACAAATTGCTCCCATTAAGCAAATGAAAACTCACACTTGAAATTGCCTATGTGGCTCCTCTCAAGATGCAAGAATTCCTGGTGCATAAAGTTCAGTTTCACAGCACAAGTCTTTTGAAAACATTTAAACCACAGAACACTGAATTTCTCTGGCTAATTTCCCCACTGTTCTTGACTGCAGGTGGGAGGGAATCATGAGACTCACCATCAAACCATGACTGCCTTAAAAAATAGGAAAAATGGTTCAAGGAAATACTTGTGAGATGCACACACAAAAAGCCACAAGAATACTTCTGACCGTCATGAGAAGAAATGCATGATTCTGTACAGTAACCCTTGAAACTGCACACATGTCCAACCTGCTAATTTCATGGTTTTGCTGCCCTCTTTAAGTTTTAATAAAAATAAGTTTTGTTATGTATATACATTAACTACATTACACTTTTTATCTGTGGGCCAAGACAATTCCTGAATTGGGTGAAGACCCAACATAGCCCAAGCAATCCCAAAGCTTAGACACTCGTGCTTAAAGCAGGACGTGGCTCTGGTGAGGGTTAAAGTGTACAAAATCTAGTGATGCCATAAGACTTGTTTCACAGCTGAAGCTGTAGCAACTGACTTGATGGCAGAGTGCCCTCACCGAGGGAAAAAGAACCGGACAGTCTGCTGAATGATCAACTCCTGCCTCTGCCCCTCTTCAAGAAACGCAAAGCAGGACTCAAAGGAGGTATGCCGCGCTCATGAATGAAATACCTACATCCAAAATAGTAGAATCCCACACAGCCAACGACGTGGCTGCGTGATCAGAAGCACCGTCTCATCGCTGTGCACAGTTCCAACCCTTTGAAGCTGACCCGTCAGTAAGCAAACAGCACTTAGAAACAGCAGCAGAGCAGAAGAGAGTTCCTGAACACGAACCGCACTGCTGGGCTGCTCAGCTCCACACACAGCGGGTGGATTCTCTGAAATCCCCATCCCGTGCCCGGCATTATCAGGCACACGTTCTGTCCTTTGTGCAGCTCTGGCCAACTGGCCCATTTGTGTGCTCAAGAAGCGACAAATCCACGCCTCCAAAAAAAAACAAGCATGCCTATTTTTGTTATTTTTAACAAAACCTAAGCGGCAACAGAAACACTCCTTATTCTGTCACAGAGAGACAAGGCTCTCCATGGGTTTCAAACATTTAAACGCATTCACAGCTCTGCACAAAAGACACAAAGACTCCAACTCAGTGGAGGAAGAGGTTCACGGTGGCACAGCTCCTTACCCCACCTGGAAACACCGCAACAACTGCGTGACCACATCGTTCCAGCACCTTGTGCTGACTGCCACGATACCAGCAGGGAAAAAAAAAAAAAAAGAAAGACAAAAGGAGAAAATGCCCAAACACACTGCAGGCCTAAGGAAAGTGCCCCGTTCCAGCCTGTAAGCACACAACAAGACAAACCAGGCGGCACTTATTCCCTCTCCGCTCCACTCGGGGGTCGCGGCCGCACGGCGTCACGCGGGGAAGCGCCGGCTGAGCTCCGCAAAGCTCACCAAGTTGTGGGCTTAAGGCGCACCTCGGAAAGTTGCGGGGTTAAGGGATGCGTGGGAATTAAGAACGGGCTGCTGGAGTTTCACAGCGGGATTCGGAAGGCTTTTTGAGAAGAACGGCGCTCCCGAGGAGCGGCTCCGCACACAGCGCTCCGCACAGCCCGGCCGAGGCGCTCCGGGGGCGGCGGGGCGACGCGGGCTCCGGGCCGGGGGTCGGCCGCACAATGGAGCCGCCTCTCGCCCTCACACGCCGCCGCCGCCTCCGTGTGACGGGCAGCGGCGAAATGGCTTCTGGGTGCCTCCGCTCCCCGCCCCCCGCGGCCGCCCGCCGGGCTCGGGCCCCCGCGGGGCGCTGGGGAGAGGAAGGGGGAGCGGCGCGGGGTCCCGGCGCGGCGCGGCCCGCTCACCATTTGCGCACTTTCTCGATGGCCGCCATCACCCGCTTGATATCATCCTTCGCCCGGCTCCGGGTCTCGGCCCGCACCGACCGGCCCGACATGCTGCTGGGGCTTTGGGGAGGGAGGGGAGGGGCAGGGCGGCGGCCTCGGCGGCGGGAATGCGGCGCTCGGCGCGGCTCGCGGCGTCCGTCCCTCCGTCCTGCCCGCACGCACAATGCTCCCACGGCTCGGCTCGCTTCGGCGCCGCTCGGCTCCGCTCGGCGCCGCTCGGCTCCGCCCGCCCGCCGGGGCCCGCACGCTGCGCACGCGCAGCCCGCTCCGCCGCCGGCAGCCCGCGCGCGCGCGAGGCGGGAGGGGCGCCGCGAGGAGATCCGCCGATGGCGGCGGCGGCGGGCGGCTTTGTTGGCGGCGGGCGGAGGGCTTCCTGCGAAGCCAAACATCTGCGCGGGATGGGATGGGGTGCTCGCAGCTCCGCGACACGCGGTGGCCGTCGGGTTTCTCAGCTGCCTCAAGTGGTTCCGGCCGTTTCTGTGAGAACGCGAGCAGCCGTACAACACCCACACAGACCGTCGAGCCCAGCCCCGGGCTCTACACAGAAACAGCCCAAACTCAGACCCCGTGCCTCAGAGCGTTGTCCGAGCGGTCCTTGAACCCCAGCAGTTTGGGACCGTGCCCCGGGCAGCTCGCTGCGCGCCCGCTGCCCTCTGGTGCGGAAACCTTTTCCCGAAAGCCGCCTTTCCCGCGCTGTTCCCTCAGGTTGGGTCGTTGGTCCCCAGATGGAGCCGAGCAGCTGCCGCTCTGCTCCTCTGTGAGGAGCCACAGGCTTCCACGCAGCCCCCCTTCAGCCTCCTCTCAGCCTCCTCCACGCTGAGCAAAGCCACGACCTTCAGCTGCTCCTCAGCGCAGCCCCTCCTCCTGACACAGACGCGCACCGCAGACCCGCGGTACACCGAGCTCCGTGCTGCTGGACCTCCTCATAAACCAGCACGCAGCTCACCGCGCTAATTGCACAACCACCGACGCTTCCAGAGCGCGGAGCAGCGATCTCTGTTTAAAAAAAACGTTGCCACTGAGAGGAACGCTTCTGGAGGGCCCGCATTATTATTCAAATTGATGCTGAGGATGATGTAAAGAAGGAAGCGTGTTCAACAGCACTTCACTGATCTTTCCACGGCAACTTGTGTCAGCCTCATTATGCTGTTTATACAAACACCGTAAGATGCTGTCCCATTGGTATTACGCTGCTAATTGGAGCTGCTGCTTTAAAAGGGAAAACAAAGTTTTAAAGGCCAAAATAGAAAACTGGTTTTAATGTATATCCCAGTGTTCCTTGCTGGTAGCTTTGCCCACATAGTTACAAATCTGCTCTAACCTATCCAAGCATTTTGCACAGAACATTTACCAGTGTATGTAATCAATACTTCTATATAGCTTTTTTGCTGTTGGGTTTCACAAATTAATACCCCCTTTGCATAATGGAAATAGACTGCATCTGGGATAAAGCCCACCTGAAATGAATACTAAGAAGGCTCTAGCTGGGGATAGGGGTGATCCGTGCAAAAAGACAGTGTACCAATTGCTGTGCCATGCTCTACAAACTGATGTTCTCCAAAGGCCCAGTGAACTCAGGTAGAGGTCTTTAGAAACAGAGCTTTCATGCAGCTTTCTGCAGAGATCCTTTCTGGAAAGCACCATGTTTACCCAGGCCACGTTTCAGCCAGTTCTGTGGAAGGGGGCACTGGAGGTGTGGGCCTTGTCCTGGCAGCAGAAATGCTTCTCAAGATATTTCCAAATGAAAACCTTCTGCTGTAGCAGAACAAAGGGTGCAGTATTAGGAACACATACGACTGGGAAATAGATTTGCTCCCATAGGCTTGTGGCATGTGCTAAACAGGGGGTTAACCTAGAGTTTGAATAATCTGAAGCTATGCAACAGTTTTTAATAAACATATAGTATATATTTCACTACTTGAGGAGTTTGGAAGGTAGAAACGAGTAGAAAACGGTGGCAGCTACAATTCTGAGTATTCACAGATGAATTATCCATCTCGTTTTACTGTTCTTTTTTCTGGCTCAGCAATGGATAGGCCAAGAATGCCGGCAGTGAATCTCTCTGCTGTGATTTGCTCGGGAATTTCTTCCATCAAAGCTGCTGCACCTGGAAAGCAGTAATGACAACAACACGAGACACACGAGAGCAGTGTAGAAATGGCATTCCAGAACAATAAAATTTATAAGTAGCAATAAGTGAATTGAGTGCTTTTAACGATGTATGCAGTAATCATGAAGTACTGTTTTACTAGCTTAGTACGTCACACATTATCAGGGAAACACTGTCAAGTCTGTGGGCTGTCTCACTTTGCAGTGGATACCTACACCTCAGAAGAGTCAAGGGACCAAAGACAGCTACTATACTCCATTGGTCTGATGAGATCCTGCGATCCCAAAGGCATGCAGGGGCTGCACTGTGTGTGTGCAGTACAAGGGTTCCTGTTATAGGCTGGTGTGGGCTAGGACATGAAATGTACACAAATGTGGTCATTCTGTTACAATGTGTACTGCTGCTTGGATGAAGTCAATGCTTCATCATAATTTGCATGTGGTAGAATTCCTTTTTACCTTTGACGTGTAAACCTTCCACTGTGTGTTTGCAATTCCATTTCCAAGCCAGCAGATTAACAGCAATGTTATCCTGTCGGGTTCCAGTTACATTTTGTTGTTCATTTATTTTTAGGTACACCCATACAACTGTTGCATGGATGAAGGACAACCTATGGGTCTGTATCTGTTCTTACAATCCTGAGTGGTTTTGACAGCTCTTGGCCTAACAGGGTAATGGGCTTGCAATTTAAATCATTTTGTTTGGGAATTGAATCAGTCCTGCCTCTGTGCCGTGCAGAATGCTAATCTCATACCTGAGGGATCACGTACGTCCAGGTCAGGTCTTCCTCCCATTGGATGCCTGCCCAGCAGGGCAGACAGACACAGTGCCAGCTCATCCTCCATCATATGCTCTCCTGTATGCATTAAAACAAAACCAGCCCCTTGGGTTACAGTGTCATCAGCACAAAAACTGCAAGGCAACCTGAGCAAGAACTGTGAACAAACAAAATAGTGTAGTTTGGAAGATTTGGTTTTTCTAAGACACGGACCACGTCACCAACTGAAACATGTCATCCTAGCACTGGAAAATATTAATTCCAAGAAAAATGGTTCTTGTGTCTTGCATGGATTTGGTGCAAAAATATCTATTAAATGGAGAAACTCTGATGCATACAGCTCTTGAGGCTACTTTGTGCTTGCAGGAGCCTGAGCTCCTGTTCCCACTAAAGAATCTGTGGCCCAGGACAAAATATGGACCAAAATATGCCAGCAGCCATTTCTGCACAGAGGAGGAAGAAGCCAGAGTAGGAAAGTCATAATCTAATATCCTGGGAGATCTGAACACAGTGTTTGTTCCCAGCTAGTGGCTGGCTTGTGTCCTCAAGCATGAGGTTATGGATCTGTTATGAAACTGTTCTATCCTATCTAATTATCTATTTATGAATGTTCACACCATCCATATAAATAACTAACCTTTCCCACATCGCTTCAGTCCTCGGTTTACACAGATCTTTGTTGTAAGTATTACCGGGTGATGTACTGAGTAAAAGAAGCACTTCCCTTTACCCATTTTAGTGTTCAGCTGCACTAAAATCTCCCTTTTTTGACAGCAGGAGCATGCCATTAGGAGTACATGATCTGTCACTCTGGCATTGGCCATGAGTACGTTTGTATGTATTCTCATGACATTCTTTCTGATTCAGCTGAATTAAACCAACACATCTTTTCAGATTTCAGTCTGACCTTTTTCATCCCTCCTTTCTTGTCCCTCTCTTCTCCAGCTTTCTGTGACCTTTCTGGAGCCTATGGTGAAGATGATGCTAATTTGGATAGGGGTATACTGGAGGAAGATATGATCTGCCAAGATCCATGCTCATCATTTGATAGATGAGATCCTTCAGGCCAGCAGAGATTTCCAGAGCAGCAAGAGAACTACAGCTGAGACAACAGGCGTGATCATTCAATTTAAAATCCTAAGGCAGGTGGCTCCCCATGCCTGCCCTCGTTACCAAGCTATAGTTTCACATTAATTTTTTGCTGCAGTGAATACATTCTGAAATTGAAGACAGAACTAGCAAGCGTAAAACTAATATTAGAAAAGAAATAACTCACCCCTGCACTGTAGGAGTGACAGCAAGTCTCCTCTGTCAATAACTTTGTCGCCGTTCTCATTCTCATAACCAAGGACCTGAAATGCTTGTCGTATTGTTTTCATTGACAAGCCAAATGTGGGTCGATGATTTATATAAAGTTTGATAAAATCCCTTAAATTGATTTTTGTCACTTGTTCTCCGGTATCCACAAAGTCACTGAATTTTACTTCATTTATCATTTCTTCGATCTGAAAATGAAGGCAAGAAAGGCTGTTACACATCTGCTTGTTGAAGGGCATCAGGCCAGTTTCCAGTGCCACAAATGGCAGTGTACCATGGCTGTGTGCATTGCAGGTGTCACAGCCCAGCAATCAGCTCAGCAGCTGAGGGTGGACATGACTAACGGTTATGTGCTCCTTTGTACGACCTTAGCTAAAGATGGGGGTAGCAAATACGTAGTTATTTTGGATTTCTTCTATTAGTGTGTATGTGATTGTCCTCAGTGGTGCCAGTGAGTTATTCTAGAATGAAGCAAGGGTCAGCGAGATTTTTCCACTCAAAATTGCGATAATGCAAGTGTAATTCCTGCAGAATTCTGGCCTGTCTCTGTCCCTATCAGAAAAGCATTTTGCCCTGGTTGTTACGTGTTACTAATGTGAGACGGGGAAGAAACCTTCCCCAGGGATTGAGTGATGAGAGCACCCCATGACTTCGCAGCTGTCACCCGTGCCCTTGCTGCAGCTGTGCCTGCACTCTGGGGACCGCAGGCAGCAAACCGCAGAGCGGTAAATTCACCAGCCCACCAGAGAAGAACGTGCACGAAGTCCTGACCTAAGCAGGCTGCACAGGGGATCCACACACCCCAGCAAGTACCAGTGATCGTGCCCCTTTATTGTATCCTCCTTGACAGGAGCAGCTGGGTCTTCTGCTCTGCTCTTGGTGACCAGCCGTGCTTTGTGCCTGTGGTTTTCCTCAGGGCTTCTGCTCAGTGCCCTCCATGTGCTCGTGCCCAATGGAGCAGCCCCTCACACAAACACAAACAGTTTCCTGTGCCAGTGTGCACTGAACGTGCTGCCCCAGGAGGGGAAGCTGATGCAAGACCTCCCTGGGGAGAACTTTGTGTTCAGCCTTGAGCCTTTGTCCTCTTGTCACAAGTTTTTCCACTGAACGAAGCCCAGGGAAGAGGGAAGTCTCAGCTTTCTCTTTTTTTCCTGCAGCAAATGCCGTGCCAGGTGAGAATAGCCAATTTGAGTCAGCTCTAGCTGATCTGGGATTAGGTTTTATATCAGCCCCACTGAACTACAAAGGAAAAACACCAATTCCCAAAAGCCTCGCTACTCAGTCCAAGCTGCTTTTTTCTCCCTTCTGTTTTTCCTTTATTAAAACACTCCAGAGAGAGACAGACTTTCTGTATTTTAATGCTGTCCTGCCTGCTTTGGAAAGCAGATTGTCTGTTGCCTACACTTAGCAGCAGTTTAGCATTATTTCCATTCCTGAAATAGCGTTGCGATTTTGATTTGAGTGGAGGGCTAACAGTCATTCTTCCAGAGACATTTCCCAGAGGAATATGTACTGTCTGTCCCCAGGAGACAAAAATGCAATGAGCCAAGGAGAAGTTTGAACAGACTGCAAGGGAATGACACCACAGCCTGACACAAGGACAAAGCAGTTCCAGCTCAGAAGAACATCCCTGGGGAGTCGCGGGGGAAGGGGGAACACAGTGATGTGCTGCTTCCTCCAGGAACCCCTTGTACATTGTAGGGCTTTAGGGGCTCAAGAAGCTTGTTATTTAAATCTTGTGCATCAGATTCAGTAATTTTTTTTTTTTCATATGTGCTTTAATTGCCCTTTTGCCAGGTTGTAACATTACAAATTAGGTCTGTATACAATGCAAACAGCCTTGTAGACATAGCTACAAAGAGAGAAGCAGCAGAACCCTTATTAAATTGCTTGTCTTTGCCTACTGTAAAATTTGAGGCTGAAAAGCTTTGAGAAATGTTTGATAGGAAGCTCCACTGCTGCAGCCTGAAAGGCAAGCTCAGAGAGAGCGTCTGCAGAGTTATCCGTTATGAAAGAGCTTTAAGTTCCATGGGAATAAAGGCTGCTGGCTCCATCTAAAATTATTCTCTGAGCAACCCAAGACAGAACAAGAAAAAGATGCTCTGTCAACACCCAGAATCACAGAACTGAGTGCTTCCACCCACAGTGGTACTGCGTGGAGGGTTCAGACCTGACCTGGTGGTACTCCTAATGCAACAGCCTCACTGCACAGCCCAACAAGAAGTGAAGAAGTTCAAACTCTCCTGGAAGTCACAGAGGGACCAAAGCACAGTGGATATTCCCTGAAGCCATCCAATAAGCCTAAGGTCTGAATCCAGCCCTAGGGCACTCAGTAAGTCACAGAATCATTAAGGTTGAAAAAGACCACTAAGATCATCAAGTCCAACCCAAATCCATCTCTTTATGCCCACTAGCCATGTCCCTTGGTGCCACATCTCCACATTTCCTGAACAGCTCCAGGGACAGCAAACCCACTGCCTCCCTGGCCAGCCCGTGCCAGTGCCTGGCAGCCCTTTGGGTGAATAATTTCATCCTAATGCCCAATCTGAAATGCAATTGTTCTTGTTTTTTGGGTTTTTTTTTTTTTTGTGTGTGTGTGTGTGTGTTTTTAACCACAACCATAAAAACAAAGGACTGACCTCTTCCTCAGATGGATAAAATCCTATTGCTCTCATTACAGAAGGAATTTCCTCCAAGGGAATGTACGTTGACACCTGCCTGCTCTCCAGCATATCAATGCCACGGCTGCGCAGCTGCACATAGTAGAAATAGTCTTCCAGCTCCTGCGAAGGATTCAAACGAGATGCTGTAAAGTTCAGCTACCAACAGGCGAGGAAGATAAGGCTTCATTTAAGATTTACTAACAGTCATATCAATGAGACTGCTGTTAAGGGCGATCTGGACAAAAAATAAAGAAATGTCAGGCCTGTATAAATGAATCTTAAACTCCAACCAGATGTTGCAGCACGGAGATCACAGTGAGTGCAATTACCCTGAAGAATTCACCGTCCTGGCCGCCCTCCAGCAGTCTGTAGAACGGGACCAGGTCCTCCCCACCCAGGGATGCGGCAGCTTCCAAGGCACTGGCACAGAGAGAAGGCGGTGCAGGAAGGGTTCACACAGGGAGAGAATTCTCATTTCCCTTTCTAGTCATTGTTTAGAGACACTTTCAATAAATAAATAAAATCCCCAGGCCTTAGAATGCAGGAAGGGGAGGCACTGCTTTGAACCACGTGTAATTTTATCACCAGCCTGCACTTCTACAGCATATTTCATACCCAGGTTTTACATACAATAGCACAGTGTGGGAATTAACTATTGCTGAATGGTCCTCTTGTTTAGTGGAATGAGCGCAGGGCGGGGAGCCAGCAGCTTTTCCATGGACTTGAGCTGGGTGTCTGGCACTTTGCTTTCCTGCTTCCTTATAGAGACATTGAGGGAGATGAATTAGCTAGATCAGCATTTTGAGCATGCGGAGTGCTGGGGCTTGGTGCTTGCAAGAAACCACACAAAGCCAAGCTCCCTACTCCTTGATCTCACACATTCTTCCCCCATAACTCAGTACAAGAGCGAATAATGGTGCCACAGGTGCTGCCCATATTAAGCCAAAGCAGCCCAAGTGCTGGTAGCAGGGCTTGCAGCTCTGATGCACAGCTCCGTAGTGCTGCTTCAGTTTTTGCTAGCTTCGTGCTTTTTTCATAATTAAGTTATTTGGGTATTAAACACAGTGGAGATGCACAAGATGCCAGGAGCAGCAATAAAATGATAATTAGCTCATCAAGACGTCCGCTCCAAAAACAAATTACACAGAAATTCAATGTTGCCTGGACTCTGGCCAACCATTATAAAGAAGGATCGTTTATATTCCACTGCCTTCCTTAAAACGTCGCTTATTCTGACCCCCGACTGCTTAAGCCACATGAAGTGGAAAAGAAAATAAATAAGCCTGGTGCCTTTGCAGGTCTCACTGTTGTGGTGTGTAGAGGTGAGCGAGCTCTGCACCCTTCAGCTCTGCGAGCAGCACCTGCAGGAACCATCTTATTTGGGACCATCCCGTGCTTAGCTGTGGAGCCTTCCTTATTGGAAGATGAAGGGCATTTCACAGGGTCAGTGCACCCCAAAGGCAAAAATAGGGGACCACAGCGGTTTTTAGGTCACTGGCTGCTGCTGCTCCCTTCTCAAATGCGCACCCATCAGGCAACTGGTCTCCTTGACAAGGCAAGCAACAGAAGCCCATGTCCTGGCATCATGGGCCACAGCCTAGGGCACCTCAGCCAGTCCATTTACTGCAGCCCTCTTACTCATGTAAGCAAAGCTTTATAGGATTACAGTGGCTTGTGCTAAATCTAGCCTTCAAATGCAGCAGGGATTTCCTCACAAATGCTGGCCTCTCATTCAGAGAGCAGACTTGTTGTACCATATGCTCCCTCCTGATCTTCTACCCCGGGCAATCCCCATCACAGCAGCCAGGCTCTCACAAGGACCAGACAACCCTCCACATCTTGGCCTTTTGGCATTTCCCAGACTGCAGTATTTTATAGGTGCTCAGTCACCAACCACAGCCACTAGCAGCTAGATCAGCTCCCCATTGACTGTTGGCTGCGTGAAGCAGCTGTGGAAAGCCTCTCCCAGGCTCGCTTCTCTATTCTGTAGTACTCACTTGAGGTTCACCTCCCATTTTAGAACAGTGCGGTCACTCCCCCCAGCCGTAAAGATGTAGCGCCCGTCGTAGGAGACGGCCAGGTCAGAAGCACCATCTGGGTGGCAAATGAAAGCTGAGGACTTGTGCGGGTTGCCATCAATAGGCAGAATCTGCAAGCCCACCTGTATGGGAAGAGCAGATGGTGAGGGCAGGGGCTCCTCAGGAAGGCTGAATCATTACCGTGCCCCTCAGTGACCAGCCTTGTCTAAAAGAAGGACATTCCAAGTGCCTTCATCCTGCAAACATTCACTTCTCTTGTCCCTACAAGGGCAGGTTTCCTTCAGCCCCCCAGCCAAGCCCAAAATGCTCCACAAATACACAGATGGCAGAAAGTTGGTGCCCCACACCTTGTCCTTGGTAATGTAAGCCAGGTAGTGCTTCTGAGGCTGTGCAGCACTCTTTGGGAGGATTTGCATCTTCTCCAATGGCGAGCCATAGGTTGGTCCCAGAAGAGTCTTTCTAAAGGCAAACAACATTGTCACCCATTCTCACAAAATATTTTCCCATGTCTGAATGGCTGTGGTACACCAGGATGGGTGGATGAGGGAAGGTGTGGTGTGTGCAATGGCTTTGTGTCACCAGGAGAGGACATGATCCCTGTCTAGAGGGGACCACACCAGAGCTAAGAGAGAAGTGTAGTGCTCAGAGATCATTCTTTGCTGCTTCTGTGGGCTCCTATCATATCATCTTGTGTCCAACTGCTGCATCCCAAGTCCATGGGCAGATAGAGGTTACTTGCAGCCATGACCTTCCCAGAAGCAAGGCTCTCTACCTGCACATTTTGGTCGTTGCATTGTAGAGCTTCATTTTGTAGCAGCTGTTGGCTGTGAGGATGAAGGACTCGGTGCTGAAATGTGGATACCAGGCCAAGCAGAGGGGCACTGCAGCCTGCTCTACACGATGTCTGTGCAGGACAACCAGCTGGTCCTTGCTGCTGCTGCTCAGGTCATATTCAATCTGGGGGAAAGACCAGGAAGCACAGTGACCTGCCATCACAGTGGACCTGATGGATTAATCACATGGAGCAGCTGTTGAGGGTGAGCATCCCCAAACCCAGATCATCCCAACTACAGATCTGCCCCAGTGCCAGGCTGACAAGCAACCTGGAACAGGTTGGGAGCTGCAGAGCCAAAGGCTGAGTGTCCCTCCACACTCTCCTCCAGCTCCACCTCAAGCCCAAAGCCCCTGTGCTGTCCTCCCATGTCTGTACCAGCTGCCTGTCCTCCCCAAGGCTCAGCAGCCGGGGCTCACTGCCATCCAGCTGGATCCCAAACAGGATGCTCCGGATGGGCTTGTAGTGGGAGTGCAGCCCTGCCAGGTGCTCCCAGCACCTACGCTCATTCTGTAGAACCCTTTTGTAAACGGTCACTGCATATTTTTCATCCTGGAACGAGAGTGCAGAAGTCAATGCAGCATGATCCCATGGCAATTCCCAGCTCCTAGGGCTGCACCAGGAACAGCACATACACGTACACCTTAGGAAGGAGTAAGCTTACAGCAGTTGCGAGGTACTCGGAGTCATGGGAGAACTGGACGTGAGTTATGGGGCCCCACGAGAACCTGAACACCTCACAGCAGGACAGCAGGGAAATGGCATCGAGGACATGCACACTCCCATCGGTAAAACCAGCGGCCAGGAAGGAGCCTGCAAAACCCAGCAGAAAGCAATCCCAACGTGCTCCCACCTCCATGCTTGATACTTAGATACATCACAGCTCCAAGATACCTGCAGGATCATAGGACAGGCACTGGACTCCAGCACTGGGGAATATCCTGCTCATGAGGAGCTGGGGCTGCTGGTAGTCCCACACCTTCAGCAGCCCGCAGTGACTGCCCATGGCAAGCCATGACTGCTGAGGATGGCATGCAATGGCCATCACTGCTTTCTTGGCCTCTTTCATGACTTTTTCAAAGTCTGTCCCATCTGTCGCAACATGGAGCACTGTTGCATCAGAGGTTGAAAGGATAAAGTTCCTGTTTGGTGTGAGAAAAACAGAATTAGATGAATCAGACTTGCTGGCTCGTATCCCTCTGAGCAATGTTACATAGACTCTTTTTGGCAACTTAGCTGGACAATCGTGATATGTTCTAATATGCAATATGTAAAGACTTCTTGACCTGGAAGACAGGTGGCTTTTTGTATTCATGACCTGAGAAGTCTCCAGTGGAAGACATTGCAGCCAGTTCCCTTTTCTACTGGGGTATGCAAGGCAGAAAAACAACATCTGGTCAGTTTTTGCCATTTGAAGCTTGTTGATGTGTGAGATGTACAAACGAGTGATTGAGGGTTCCTCGAATAGTCCCCCATAGGTAGGGTCTCTGTGTTGGCCATGATGCCATGGAGGAGGTCAGGGGACAGGATGGGAGCTGTGATGTGGACAGTGGCCCGTGGTTGTGCATTCAGCCCTCCCAGCTGCAGCATGGTGAGGATGGTCCTGTATGACTGGTGGTGGGCAAAGCAGGCATCTGAATGACCATGCATAACAGAATAAGTGCATACTGCCATCAGCCCACCCAGGGATGAAGCCTGGATTCTGATAGAAGATCAGGAGTGGAGCCAGGAACTGGGCCATGGTGACATGCCTGAGGCTACAGCAATAACTGATGTGGGATAACAGACACCTCCCAGCTTGGAGATGAACCTGTCCCACGTGGCTCTTTGGAAAAGATGAGCAGCTACAGATAAATGCTGCCAGCAGAACTTCAGGCAGGATTGACAGACGTGATTTGCAGCCCCACAACACAGCATCGAGTTTGCAGACTTCTCAGAGCTTTTCAGGCACCCTATGGTGCTGCTGCTGCCCCAAGCCCCCAAGCCACGCATTCTCCCCACCACCACCTGGATTATCTCACCCAGCAGTGATAAAATCCAACTGGAAATAGCCACCTGGGGGAGGGTTAAGCAGGGGATTAAAGGGCTCGATGGGAGCCATGGGCTCAGCATTAGCCCTGCATGGTGTACCAGCTGCGTGACAAGCTGCTCGGCTCCGTGCCCAGCTGGCTGTCCCCATGCCAGCATCAACACTTCTCCAGCACTGAGATGTAGCAACCAGTTCATAGCTGGGGATGTGCTGGGGACACCCAATTTGTGACCAGTGCTGGAAGATGCAGAAGAGCTGCATTTACACAGAGATGCTCACCTAACAGCGAATGGATGGCTGCTGGTAGAAGAGGCACCGGGAGGATCTGCAGGGGCTTTGGAGAAGGAGATGGACTGAATGGGACCCGTACTGCTGTGGTCATAGCAGGCCAGGAGCTGCAGGTGCCCATCGTAGAACTTCACCTGGCCTCTCACATCCCCTGTCACTATGCAGCTGGAAGGAAGGAAGCACAGTGTTATGGGATGGGAAAATTCATGCTCCAAATGGCTCAGGTCCATCCTGTTCTTTGTTCCAGCAGTGCAACCCATGGGAAAGATAAAAACTGACCGTGAGGAGCACACAGCGTGACGAAGCCTACAGAATATCCTGGAAAGCGTTTACTCGAAACGGGGAACTCGCTAAGTCGAGGGAGATCCCTTCCCTTTTGCCCTTTCTCTGCCCAAAAGCACGAGAAACACAGAAGCGCTGCGCCCCATCCCGAGCTGCTCGGAGACCGTCTGCTCCCTCTGCCGGCAGAGCCCCGGAGGCCGAGCACAGCTCCGAGCCCACGGCCAAGCCCTGAGTTTCCCAAGGGCTGTACTTTACGGACAGTGTCATCTCCTTACCTCTCCAACACCATCAGCACTGTCAGGCTTTCTTCCTGCATCGGCACCAGCTTGGTGGCCTTGACGCCATGCAACCTGCCTTGTGGCTCCTTGGCCAGCCCCTGCTTTCTCTCCACATCCCACACCACCACCTTCCCGGCCGAGGTGCCCGTCAGCGCCTGCGTGGCGTTGAAATGGAAAGCTGACTGGGTGAAGCGTCCCACCGCGCTGCCAAAGGTCTGTCAAGAGAGCAGTGGTGGGTCAGTGCTGGGTGCTGGTTCTCCCGTCTGGTTCCTTGGTGTGACATTCCTTCCCTGCCTCATGGTGGGACCAGTGCCAGCACGTGGCCACTGGGAGTAGAGCCCCAGAAGGCCAGGCTGAATGGAGCCGTGGGCAACCAGATCTTGCGGTTGGCAACACTGCCCATGGCAGGGGTTGGAGGTGGATGGGGTTTAAGCTTCTCCCCCAACCCAACCCATTCTATGATAGAATGATGTATGTGGGAGATGCCTTATCTTTCTTGTCCTCTTAGGAAACCCAGGGAACAATCTGGGGACATGGCCACCACTTTGGCACAGGGGGACGAGAAGGGACAGGGCTGCTGCAGATCCCCGTGGCTCCCCGTGCACTCACCTGCTTGGTCAAAGGAGGAGTGCTGTACTGCAAACCAGCATCGCCCTGCAGAGAGAGCAGAGCATGTATCCACACGAGGACATTTGTCTTCTGTAATCTCCCAAGCCCACAGAAATGCATCTCCCCACCCCTGCTCCTCTCCCAGAAGCTGTGACCACCACGAGGCACCCAAAAACCTGTGGCAGCATGAGTGGGAGAGGTGGGGAGCACATCAGGTACCAGGAGATGAATTTTTTGTGGTCCTACTCACCCACAGATAAAATATCACCTGGGTTTTGCTGTTGCTGACAAACTCATAGGGATTTTGGGGGTTAAAAATGACAAAATCCTGAAATCAAGGGGTGAGAATCATGTTAATGGCACGCAGTGATGTTTCCTGCTTGTTCTTTCACCGAATGAAGTGTGGTGTCCAAGTTCCTCACCTGGAAGCCCAGCTCTGGGCTCAGCTCCACGTCACACACAGGGCTCTCATTGGGATATGTCCACCTCCACACACAGACCCTCTGGCATGGGGAGAAACCAAGAGGTGTTTGTGGCCTCCTGGGAATTTCCAGCTTGGCTGAGTGAGCCCCAACCCCTCCAGCTGCAGAGCATGAGGAGCTAAAAAGGCTGGAGAAGGATAGCCCAGCACAGCTGGATGGCTTAATTTCAGGAAACAGTGTGAGGAGCTGCCTTAACGTGAGCACAGCAGAGTCAGAAGTTTTCATCCCAACTTCAGACCTTCTCTCTCAGCTCTGCAGCATTCCTTTTAATGAAACCCCAATCTATCCCCCAGCAGTTTAGCAAGAAACATCTTGACAGACCCACAAGAAAAATCTTGAAAAAGGAAACACAAAGAGGAAATATCCTCACCTGCACCGAGCCAGCACTGATGGTTAACACATATTTTGCATCTTGGGAGATGGCGATAGCACAGACCCCACTGCCTGCATGGCTGTCAAAGATGGTGCGCACTGGGATCCTGTGTGGAAAAACCCTCATGGGCACTCCTGGCAGAATGTGTAGACAGGAGGGTGTCTGCTGGAATGGGATGTTAAACAGACAGTGTTGTCCCTATGAAGGATACGGGAGGTTTGCATGGATGCTCACCCGGAAAAGGCATCCCATATGATGACCAAAGGGTCCGGACCTCGGTCAGCAGTGGCAACCCAGCGCCTGTCCTCACTGACACACAGGCATGAGATGGCATTTGCGTGGCCCTGGAAAAGAGGAGAGAAGCACCTGGGAGCTCCAGAGCTGCTTGGCTGGAGTAATTTCCCATCTTCTCACCCAAGAGTCTTCCATTTTCCTCCCCCTGGCCTCACTTTGAGCAGCCCCAAACCACCCTCGTGGCCACCCCACCAGGCCCAGGGATGAAAGAAAGGCACTCAGGGATAGAAGAGGCCTGCAGACCTGCAGGTGGTACTGCCTGCTGCCAAGGACATCGTGGATGACCACTGTGTGGGCACAGACATACAGCAGCATCCCATCCTCCATGCTATGCACAGCCAGGCTGCTGTTGTAGCCCAGCGCCCAGGACAGGCTCTGTGGAGAGAAGAGGTTCTTAGTAGTAGGGGTAAGACTGCCTCCAAATCCCCTGGGGTAACAGGGCAGAGCATGGAGTCCCAGGGCTGCTCTCCCATCCACTAATACTCACGAGAGGATGGCAGCTCTGCTTCTCTCCCTGGAATAGCAGGCCAGGCTGCGCACGCCACACACGGCTGGGAGCATCGCTGCGCTCCTTCAGCTCACCAGGAGCCCTCTGAGGTGCAGCTGCTGCAGCATTTCCCAGACCTCCACCTTCCCGGGCAGCAGCCATGGAGTCCTTGGGAAGGGAGAGAGGTTGGAGTCCGTGCTGCTCCCAGACCTGAAGCTGCTCTTTTTGCTGTTCCCCTTGCTGTGTCCTACACACCAGTTACTGATGGATAAAGGTGTGATGGCAAAATGGAGTGAAAAAAGGAGATCGTGTCCTGGGATGGGGCTGAGAGACAAAAAGGGATCCCCTGAAATGTGCTGACTGGTAAGCAGTTGAAAAATGAAAGCAGAAAAATCCCACTGCCTATCATAAATGAATTAAACATTCCAGGGGGATTGAAGGAGGCTTCCCCTGCTCTGAGTCCCTTCTGTTGTGGCTCCCGACGAGGTTTTGCATCTTCCCACAGGGCCCCTTGCTTTCTCCATGGTGTGAGCTCAGCATGGATGCTGTAGCCACGGTTCCAGGTGAGGTCAGGTAACGTTTCATTCAGCCCAAGATCGGGATCGCATCACACACATAAACTGGGGGCAGCTCAAGTGCTCAGCAAATACTGACAGCTGGGCTGAGCCTACAGAGCAGCAACAAATAATAACATCTAATAACAAAAGAGGAAATGGGAGGAGCTGAATAGAAATTGCCATTCACCTGAGCTCTGCAATTTGCAGCTCCAAATGACACCCATAGGGCTGGTTTTGGTCCCATCCCCAAGCAAGGGGAGACACTGCAGCATGGGGTCCCCACTCTGTGTCCCCAGGGGACATTGGTGACAAACTGTCCCAGTGCTGGGATGGGGTCCAGGCACCCTGCACCAGGCCCTCACCTGCTGGGGCAGCATTGCTGCCTCTCCATGCCTCTGTCCATCTGGGGACGACTCCTTCGGTGCAGCGTCTCTTGAACCATCCATCCTTACCTCCAGCCTCTGTCCAAGAATCCGTCAAAATGTTTTTACTCCAGTTGGCCACAGGAGGAGGATAGGGCACGCGGGAAGCTGGGTCCCATGGGCACCCTTTCAGTCCCAGTCACACTTTCCCTGAGCACCAGCAGGCAGAGCCCTGCTGCCCAGCTCTGATCAGGCTCTCCGTGCTCCTGACGCTTCTGTTTGCATCCAACCGCTGTTCCCTGGGCAACGGCTGCAACGGCTGCTGCCAGCAACAGACTGGGAAGCACTGTGAGAGGGGCTCATCCACCCTGCATCCATTCCACGTCCCCTTCTTATCCCCACCAGCTGCCCTATAGAGGCAGCACTAACCCTCTGCACAAAGCACTCCATCAGGATGATGCCCACATGGGGATGCAGCTCTCTGCCACCACCCCGAGTCATTGCTGCCTTCTAATCAGCTCCAGGCTCTCCCAACTGCCGATTTCAGACATGCTATTAAGCTCAAATAATAACAATTTCTAAATCTAATTTGTTTTTCCTTCTGCCCAGCACGAGCCCGGTGCCCTGCTGGGAGAGGAAAGCAATTCTGTTATCAGCACAAAACATCTCAGCAACCTGAGGAGCTGCTGCGCAGCCGCCATGCGCTCCTTCCAACCTGCTGCACTGGGTGAGTGGGGAATTATGGCTTAAGGAACAAAGATCTGACCCAAGGAAGTGGATTGAAAACAAGCGGTGGTGAATAAGCGGGGGCAGCCTCAAAAAAACATTTTTACTGAGTGCAAGATGGCAGGTTTTGCAACAGAACTGTGTTTTTTCTCTTGCTGGAATTGATCCAGTCCTGTCACCAATGGGAACAGTGATCAGAGCACACAGCCAGGACATGCACTTCTACAAAGCCCCACAGAGCTTTGTCATGTCACACTGCAGACATCCTCCACAGTGACATGGAAATGAGTTCTCTGAGAGCAGGAGTTAGCACACTCCGTTGTGCTGGGATGACCCACTAACCTCACTGCATGAGCAATAGAGAAAGACAGGACTTTTTAGGGCATTTCATCCCAGGAGGCACATACACAAAGGCCTGGAAGAATGTCCCAGGAGCTGTTCTTCCGGACCAGCATGCAGACCCAGATCCACATGCAGCTCAGGCAACACCCGCACACCTGGGGTACGAACACACACACCTCAAGCACACAAGGCCAAGGCCAGGCTCCAGCTGGTCTGACATTAGAGCTGCCAGTACACCACACATCTACATGCTTACAACTACATTCTGCTTTGCTGCACCAAACAAATTTTTGGCTGCCGAAGGTCAGGGACGAATGCTTTTATGTCTCTGCAGATCTGCTTTTAACATACCTGACATGGCCCACAATTACTGCCCCCAGATAGCAACTTGCACAAGAACAGAGAGAGACATTACTCAGTTTTATTCATTGGGATGAGTAATTCAAAGTTCAACTGGAAACAATCTTACAAACAAGAACAATCACCCCAAAACCCCCCTGAAGTGTTTATACATCCTAAAATCAACTGCAGCAAATAAAAAAATTTAAGAGTACTTCAATACGTTAGAAGACAGAATTATAACCCCAATGCTTACTTCGTTAACTTAAAATAATTAGGCATTCCAAAAATGCTATCTTAGTTAGTGACTTCCAGCAGCTGTGGTCACATGGGAAAGATAAAGTACCAGATTTGCACATTTCTTGACTGTGATCTACTAAGTTAAAAAAAGAAAATCGTTCCAGGACTTTTTATCCTATTTTACAAGATGTTCAGTGAGGAATTTCAAGGAGAAAAAAAAAAAAGAAGGAATGCCATATTATCACCAAATAAAAGCATTTTATGCTCTTCCAAATCTGTATCAAGTGAAATCTGAGTTACGCTCCAGCCTTACTCCAAACTGACGCAAGGCACAAGAGATGAGAAACCACATCCTGCAACTCTGTGAGTTGCTCCTCACAAACCAGTGCAATTCCAACTGCATTAAGGCCCTGCTCCATCAGAACCTCTTCAGACTCCGCAAGCCCAGCCACCTAGAGGTCACAGCCTCTGAAACACTCATTTCAGCAAAACAAAGATCATAGGGCAAGCTTTCAAATCAAATCAGAGTCCAGAAAGCAGGCACAAGCTTCATCTTTATTGTCTTCTGAGCTGTGGTCATCTTTGCAAGGGAATGATATTGCAGCTGAAAAAGAAGAGTGGAGAAGAACACATTTGTTTCAGCTCTGAAAGAAGCTCAGATGATCTGACATAGTGTGAATCTATCAACCACAACCCTCCCCCACTGGTTTCCTCTACTAGAGGAACTAGCCATTAAGATCTTCAGCCCCATACCCATACTTAATACAACTCATCATCCCATATGACCACTGAATTGACAGTCCCAGCTCTCAGCTGGAATCTGCAAGTGAGGCACATCACAGCAGGCAGCAGCACAGAGCGAAGCACAGAGCTGGCTCTGCTGCAGGAAGCGTGCCTTGAGCTAGCAAGAGCCCCCTCTGCTCTGACTGGCAGCCTACCCCAGGAGGCCCTTCCCAGCCCAGCGCTTCGGAGTCAGCCCCAGGTGCACTTTCTTGCCGTTGCGGATCACAGTCACACTCAGAGGTCTCTGAGAGAAACAAAAAACAAACAAAAAAGAAAGATGAGCTCTCTCACTTCCATTATAAAGTACCCAATGGCTGTGATAGCTACTCTGGCCATTCCACAGTAAATGCTGTAGCTCACTGGGAGAGGTAAGAGAATGCAGTTAAAGTAGAAGCAAACTTACCCCTTCGCTGTGTTGTACTACTGTGGCAATGTTCTGCAGGCTCTTGAAGTTGTGCACATTGACAGAACCAAACTCCACAATCTCATCATCAACCTGAAGGCCCTGGACAGACAGAAAGAAGCTGAGCATCTGTGTTCTCTGATGACAGGTAATACTGCCTCCTCACAGGAGATTTCCTCCAGCCACATAGGCTGTGTTAGGACACCACCCTTCTCACCATTCAGACAGCTGAACATTATATCCTCTCCCTTAGAAACAAGTATGTACTCATTTCTTTGTCCTATTTTATGAGAAAACAAACACTGAGACTGCAATAAACAGCAAGGCCTGGTAAGAGCTGTGTGGTGCCACAACGCAGCAGACAGCACGTGCTTTCTGATCCCAACACAGTGACAAACCAGCTCACAGGGCCAACCCAGTGACCCACATATGGGCAGCTCCCTCCATGGGAGCTTTCAAGAATAACTACACTGGTTGAGAAGGTGACTGAATATTTGACAAACGCTTAAAATAAAGAAAGCGGAAGTGGGATAATAATAATAATAATCAGTATCTCACAGCTTATTGCTGCTTGTTAGCAGAGAAAAAAAGCAATGCATCCTCTATTTCCCCTCCCTAGGTCCAGAAGTAGCCCTCCCCACCGTCAGCTCCAGCAACGTACCGAGGTGCTGGCAGGAGACTCTGGTGTCACAGCATTGACTTTGGCGAAGGCAGGCGGCAGGCTCTGGCTCATGGCCTCAGCCCGCGCCTCCGCCTCGTCCCTGGCGTGCTTCTCCTTCTCCCGGGCGTGCAGCTGGTGAAGAGCCTCCTCCACCTGCTTCATCAGAGCCTTGTGGTCGTTCTGCAGACCTGCAGGTGGCACCGAGCTCAGTAAGAAGCAGAATTGTAGCATCGTTATGGTTGCAAAGGACCACAACCCGCCCCAGCCCGTTTCCCACGCCCCTCAATGCCACATCCCCACAGCTCTTCAACACCTCTAGTGACCCCCCCACCTCCCCGGGCAGCCCATCCCAGTATCCAACCTGC